CTCAATGGGTTTTGTTCCTTCAGACTTTTATGCCATATATGAACTAAAAATCCCAAGACTTAGCATCTAAGATATTCGATATGAGATAAATCTGATGTCACATTTATTTAAGAAAATATTGTGGCAGTTCATAACATGTTCTGCAAGAAAAATTGTCCAAGGAAGAAGACAGGGATCATAATATGAGATTGCTCTATTAAATCACTGAATTCCCTGAGGTTCCACTACTCTAGCTGCATCATAACCATGCAAACACAGACTGTTTCCTGTCTTTGTGCTGTTCCATAAAAGAGTTCACTTATAAATCATGATGATCTGTAGCTACCGTGTATACTGCCAGAATTCCACCTCAAAGTACCTGCTTCGATGCTTCAAGTGAAGCACCTAGCACAGTTTTGCAATTCTGATCATAAGAAGTGCAAGAACTGACCTTCAGAGACTGGTAGCTCATGAAAACAATTTCCTGTAACACAGGCTTCTTATTCACTGCATTGCAGCTTATGGGCAAATAGAGTGGAACAAAGAGTATTTCCTCACATTTTCCCTTCTGGTCTTGTGAAAAAGGAGTTATGGCTAGGCCCCTTTTTTTAGTACTTACTTAATTACACTTTGATAAAAATGAACTCAACTGGGGTTGTTAGCTGATAAAATACAGTCATGATCCTAAAATCTATTCCATAGACATTTCCATTAATGATCTCTTAATGTGATGTCATAGCTTGTTGTCATGAGCTCCCTTACACTTCTATTAAATAACTATCTACCTGCTTGAAAGAACATTATAGTTACAATCCTTCTCAACAACACAAGTCTATCTTTGGACTTACATCAAAAAAATGGGATTCATCTATCTCTAATACCTGGGGCTTAGTTTAACTTTACTACAGAAACCCTTCCCCTCACCCCCATCAATTTAAGCACACTGGAAAAAAGACATCTTTTGTTAAGTTAAAAAAATTTTGCAGTCCCAAACAAAGCAAAAGCCGCGTGCTTGAAGGATGGCTTCAAAGATGTTGAGGGAGAAAATTCCCTTCAATTTGTTCTCCTGGGGCTACACAGAATCTGGCCTTTCCAGGCACAGGTGTGTCAATGCACAAAGGTAAGCAAAACAGCACAAACGAAGCACAGGGGGTTTTAGGTCAGTAAAAGAACCTTAGTGCCATAATCACTTTTATTTAACAGAGAATTTATTTTCTGATGTGTGAACTGCCAAATACAGGAACTGCCATGCCAAAAGGGAATAACTGAGTATGTTAAGCTGAATCAATGTTTTTCACTGAAAATTAGAAAAGCAATGTGAAAGTGGGTAGGTTGGTTATGATACTACCCAAACTTCTCTATATTGGAGAGCTCCTATTTCACTTACGAGACAATTGAGAAAAAAGAAGTGTTAGTTACTATTATGACAAAACTTATCCATAGGGCATATCGATGACATTCTTAGACAAATGTGTAGACCAACGTCGTTTTGTAAGAAATGTACAGCCCAGTTCAGTCAGTCAGTATTGTTAACTTTCCTATAACAAATATGGGTGATATTGTAAAGTCGAAGAAATAAAATCTTGCCAGTGCTATGTAGGGGACTGTCTAGTAATGTGCCTTCAGGTAGGATTCTGGCAGGGAAAAGAACTGTCAGATAACAGATGTGGTATAAAGACTGGAATGGAATATGAGAAGAAAGAGAGAAGGAGTCTGTTATGGAGAAAACTTGAAACAAGCAAAAGAACTGAGACCTTCTATGGTACATAAATGAAGTGGAATTTCTCTGTATATCCCTGAAAGCGAGTGAAATTTGAAGCTGAAAGTTACAAGTGCTAATGAAAGACTGCAAATTGGAAATGACAGTTGAGAGAGGGGGGGAAAAGCGTATAAAGGCAGACCAATATGGTATAAGTTGAGATGGAAGAGGCAAAAGATACAGAGAAGTATTATAGTGAAGAGGCCTGAGAAGCTTCTGTAAGTGCTGCAAACAGAACCACCAGCAGTGGTAACTGCATGGAGGTTGGGCACAGGAACAGTGAGTGGGACTGCAGAACAGTGAATGGTAACAGGAAAGGAAGGCCATGACAAATTTGGGGAAAAATGCTGTAATCTTTTTACAAAGTTGAACTTGATGTTTCTTGCAAGACAACTAGTAGTCTGAAAGAAAGTACACTGTATCTCATTACCTCCAGAAGAGTGGCTGAAACAGAAGAAATGGATAAAGTTGCTCAGTGAGAACATAAAGAAGAAAAATGAGAGAATCTTAAATGAAAGTGTAGAAACTATCACTTAAAAAAGCAGTGGCTGAGGTACAGATAATTTGAGTAACACAAGAGAAGTAAAGAAAGGAGTGACCTTTTTATTAAAGAAACAGCAGTAGCTTAACTGAATGGATATTTTCTTCGAAAAGATGTCTCTAAGTAATTAGACACTTGGATATTTCCAGGGTATTGGAGACATCTGGAAGGGAATTGAAGCTGCTGGTATGTTTATATTGGATTTACTTTTTTATTTAAAAAGCATATAAAAGCCAAATTGACACAGAACTTTAAGTAATTGGATTAGGAAATCTGAGTTTTTGAAGAAGCACAGTACTGATAGGAAGTTACTCATTTTGAAGAAAAAATATTAAAACTAACAAAATTTTTTTGTTGTAGTCTCCTACTCTGGCAATGAAAGCATCAGAAAATTGATTGGGTCTTCATCTGTGCAGGCTGATTAAAGCATAACCCTATTGTCTGGAACAATATGGAAGGCAGCTAGAGGAAATAAAATCCACAGAAAACAAAACACACTTAGTCAAAAAATATACATACGTATCAAGATATTGATGTCTTATGCAATAATTACAATGAAATATTAAAACACAGAAAAGAGTCACATGTGAAAACTAGTAAGATTTTGCTATTAAACAGCTCAGCATTCTGCCAGGAATTGCCTATGAAACATAGGGGAGCACTGACGATGCTGCACTAAGTCCCCACTCAACTGCTTTGACAGACATTTCAACCCTGACAGCATTTTTATTTGCTTTGCTTTATCAGGTAGGGAAGAATTAAGTCAAAGATTGTATTAAAGTGGAAAATTCTTTGGTTTTTTTCAGTTTTATTATGATCAAACCAGCGTAAGCTTGTGTGGAGTAACATTCAGAGGGATTTAATACTCAGTACTAAATGCACAATGTTACATTCTACTAGCAGTTTAGCTAAACTGTGTGCATTTATAATGGTAACAAAGTTTTTAGTGAAAGATTATTTTTGAGCTCTTGTTTTGCAGGCCAGGTTGTGTCAGAAGAACAGAACTCTGCAGTACAACATGCATCATACTAAATAACTTCGAAGGAAAATTTCTTACCTCCAGCAACTAGCCCAGACTCTCCTAATTGAATTGCTACCCCGAAGCCACCAAGCTTTACCGGGGCTGAATTCTCTTTTGAGGCAAGGAGTACACAGTGCGGCTGAAAAGAGAAAAATCCAGAAAAATTATTATACTGTTTGAGAAATACAATTTGTATTTTAGAACTTATTTTCATAAATTTGCTAACAGAAGCTAAAAGTTTGTGTTGTTTGTTTGTTTGTTTGGGTTTTTTTAATCATGTCTTAATTTCAGATTTTTTTTTTCCCTCTCTGCCATAGACTCCTCTTTCTGCATTGGTTTCCTTTCTGTTGTCCCAGGTACAGCAAAATCCTTTCAGGACTTACAGAACTTGCAAGGAACACAAAGTGAAATCATACTGAAGTGGAGATAAAAATTCATGCCTATAATTTCTTATCTGGTATTACTTTTTCTTTTTACCTTCCCCCTTAAGCCTTACACTGTTTCAATTCGCCAGCAGAAATATCCTGACTATGACAGACTTCGTGGGATTTTATCCTTCACAGAGAACAGAAACCACTACTTTGAGCCTTAATCACAGAATTCAGTGATCATTTCTCAAATGTAGGAAAGAAAAGGAACTTCCCTGTGATGTTTCTAATAAATATTGCAGTGAAGGATATTGTTTTGGTTTCTAAACTGGATTCTAGGCATAGTCATCCATATCTTTGATTTTCCACAAATAAGAGTGAGGTGTAACATATAAAAATGAAATAATATTTTACAACAATCTGGATAGATACCGGCTGGTGTAGGAGGAAGCAACATACATACAAAATCTATTAGAACACAATTTAGTATTTAATACACGTACCCAAACTATTGCATTTAATACAGAACAACTTCCTGCATTTACTTAAAGCCTCCCTTTTAAATATCATATTATTTAAAAGGAAGTATGTCAAATTTGTATACTACTTCTTGAGAATATGTTAGTGCTTAAATTACAAAACTAGGAAGTCAGTGCACAGGAGCTACGAGAATTTCAATCTGACTACCTGTAAAGTCATCATCTGTAACCACCCACGTCTTCTTTTAAAAAAGTTTCAACTGCATGAGAGTGAACACCTTCAAGACAATGCTCTTGAGATCTTAATTAAATTTAGGCCTCCCTATGTCAGGTCTTCTAGAATCCACTTTTAAATGTCCAGTTTATAAATGTAATTTTCAATTCCTTACACCCTATTTAAAACAGTATTACCAGGTGGTATTATTGCTGCACATTGTATTTCACTTCTGCCTTATTGAAATGGTTAAGCTGCACATTTTGGGCACTTTAACATTCTCTCATTGCTATAATTTTCAGTGAAAAAGATCAACCTCAAATTTCCAGCTCCAGGCACAGAGCAAGGTAGATGGGAGAACTACACCAACAAAAGCAAACTGTACCATTTCACTGTAGTGTTGATCTATCTTTATCCTACAGTTGAAAAAGTGACACTACTTCCACAACAGTGCTGAGACAGCAGGCTGTACCAACATCATTATCACCCAAAAAGCCACTGACAGTGCTCACCAGAAACAAAGTTCCTGAGAAAAAAATTAAGATCTCCAATTCAGAGTGAAACTCTGAGAAGATTTTATTATAGAACCTCTCCCAGCAAAGCCCAGATAAACCGAGTTTTGCCTGTTAAAAATGTCTTTTTTAAAAAAAACACCCAGTTGCAACACTAGTTAAACTTCCCCTTGTCGCCAATTGTACCGTGTCAGCTGATGTTCATCACTTTCATAGAGAAGCTTTCTAATAAGAGGACCTGCATGTTACTCCTCCCTGCCTTCACCAGCGGTTTTGAAAATCAGCAGAAGTTCTTAACACATAAATGGTAAGTGCCTTCTTTTATACTTAAGCTGCAGTAAACCAAATTTCTACTGAAGTTTCTCTTAACTGCAAAGGTGCCACTGACCCTTTCTTAAATATAGCTTCATTTTAACATGCTGCTTGCTTATGAGTGACACAACTTATGACAGTGAAAAGTTATGTTTCCAAAGCATCTGCCGTGTAATTGATGCTTCTCTCTTTCTTATCGATCTAAACTTGCCACTGCTTATGCAAATCGTGATGTCAAGCATTTCTATAGGAAAGCAACAAACAAGAAATCATAGCAGTAGAGAGGCTTCAAGATGTATTTGAAAGCGTCATGTTTTAAAATCGGCCTTTTAAAATTACTTCTTGCCCTGATAATATCAAATGGCAAATATGAAACCAGCTATTTTTGAAACTGCTAACATACTCTACAAGTTTAATGCAATTGTAGGGTCAGACAACACGGGATGTTAAAATATTTTAGACTGTCCTCTCAATAGTTCAGATCCTGTATGTACATTAGATCTTCCTAAGAATTTTACCTGAAGCGTTGCCATTTTCACTGCTGTAGCTGTATCACACACTTAAATGTATATTTGCATTTTTAAGACCTAGCATGCAAATTGCATAGCCTAGACACAGACTTAGCCTAAAACCTATTTTAAGGTTATGTATATAGCAGAGTTTTCTTGTTGGTTTGTTTGGGTTTTTTTTTGTAACAATTGCCAGACAACAAAGTTCAGAGAACCAAAACCACTTCTGAAATTTTTGTGAGACTGGGGGCAAAAAACCTTTCCTCTGTAAAAAAATAAAATTCTAAAGAAACTTTTTTATAGAATCTTTTGTTGCTATGACAAACAAGTTGAAGAAAAAAATTGTATCATTACAATCAGTCTTAACCATCTCTCTAAACGGCTTAGTGTTACTCAGTTCTAACCACATACTTTTTTGGTTTTCCTTCCTTGGTCAAAACTGACTTTTATCTTTCAGATTGTACCTTCCTGGTCAGCAATAAGCTTAGTGAAATTAATAACTTTGAAATGAAAACAAGGAAAACAATGAAAACAAGGAAGACTTGAAAACAATCTGTTATTGCATTAATGTAATTCCCAGTTAATGCTAGTTTATTTGTGTAATATTGATTTGTGAACAGTCAAGAAAAGGAAAAAAACCACTTAAATTTATATGAAGATACAGATTATTAAAGACAAGCTACCGTAATAGTACTGGCTCACGGTGTTATAACAGATTACATAGCCAAAGAAATATTAATTCACAACTGCTTTTCTAATTGAAAACTATTGACTTGCATGTGAGAGATCCTGGGTACTTATTTAAAACTAATACCAGTGAGTTTAGACTTGTTTTAATATATTTCTATGGACTTTATATCAACACGGAGAATACTTCACTTAGTTATACTTACCTGCCCTTGCATCTTAAAAAGTTTCTTAGAAAGACTAATCCTAAAAACTAAACTTAGAAAACTACTTGTACTTGCAGCTAAACCAAAATAAATTAAAAAAAAAAAGATTTCTTAAGTTTACAGCAAAACTTAATATTTGAAAAACAACACAAGACATTAATAAAGATGCAATTACAACCGCAGTTACCTGTTTGAGCACTCTATACTCTCTGTTCTTGCCTACTGATTATTCTAAGCTTACATGGTATCATGATATCTGGCAATCCTTCTACTCAGCTACAGCATCACTTTGGCACGTTTACTTCCTTTAGTTACTGCCTTTTATGTTTATATCATGTTAGACTGTATGCAATGAAGCAAACAGACATAAGAAGATGATCCTATGGAGATCTAATTCTTAAAATTTCTCTTTGTTTCTTTACAGAACAGCTAAAAAACCCTCACAAATGATGGCTGCAGCTTCAGCTGATTCACTGACAGACAAAGACTTCTGGAGTAACCAAACCAACGTGGCCATAAATGCCTCAGAAATTCAAAACAATGACAGTTGTCCCTTAGACGACAACTCGCTGTCACTCACTTTGATAGTTTTTTATTCTATTATTTTTGTTGTTGGATTGGCTGGAAATATTACAGCCCTGTTTGCCTTCCTGTGCATTCATCAGAAAAGGAATTCTATCCAAGTTTACTTGCTAAACGTGGCTGTTGCAGACCTTCTGCTGATCTTCTGTCTTCCCCTCCGAATACTCCATCATGCCAACAAAAACATTTGGATGTTTGGACGGATTTTATGCAAGATTGTAGGAACTCTGTTTTACATGAACATGTATATTAGCATAGTACTATTGGGACTAATTAGTCTAGATCGTTATATAAAAATAACAAAGTCTGTGAAGCGTCCTAAAATGTTAACCCCGACACGAAGTATTCAGATTTGTTGCGTCGTGTGGGCAATTGCACTAACAGGATTTACAGTAGTAGTTGCACCATCTTTCTTTAAGAGCGAGGACAGCAATTCTACTCTGTGCTTTCATTACCGAAGTAAAAAGAAAGCAAAGACAGAAGCAATTTTAAATTATATCACAGTACTAATTTTTTGGATAGTTTTTTTCCTCTTGATTCTTTCGTACATTAAAATCGCCAAGAACCTTCTGAAAATTTCGAGGAGAAGATCAAATTTTCCCAATGCAGGAAAATACACCAAGACAGCAAGAAATTCCTTCATTGTACTCATCATTTTCACTGTCTGTTTTGTTCCTTATCACATGTTCCGGTTTGTCTACATTACATCACAGTTACAAAACCCCTCCTGTTATTGGAAGGAGATCATTCACAAATGCAACGAGGTGATGCTCATATTTTCATCATTTAACAGCTGCCTAGACCCAGTTATGTATTTCCTGATGTCCAGAAGCGTCCGTAAGGCTGTATTCCAACTTATTTGCAGAAAAATTCATGGAGAGTCAAGCCTAAATACAGAAAGCACTTCAGACATAAAACTTGGACAATATACACAGGAGAGATTATCTACTATCACTCCCCACTCAAGTTATTCAAGGAAGAAGTTTGTGGTTTGATTGTTTAGATGAATGGATTTCTCTCTATCGCTCCAGGACATCGACTGCAGATCACGAAATGCTAAACTGTCCAGCTACTAATCCTGCCTCTTTCCTCCTGGTCACAAAATGAGAAGTCTTGCTTCTGGTCGTGAAAACGAGAAGTTACTTTTCAAAAGTATTTCACTCTTGTTTATCCATGAAAACAAATTAGGAAGTTCTCGGACATCCTCTGTTGGACTAAACTAGAACACTAACTCTTTAAGGAGATTTCCACGAAGGGGCTTGAACCTGTATAAGGAATCTTGTATATATACATTAATATCAGTAACTTGTGTATGTAAATAATAGATGAATTTTGCAAAAAGTAAATTGTGTCCTATTTGAAAGATCTATATAAAACATTACAGATTTTATATAACTCTCTGTTTTAATAGGTTTCAAAGAGATCAGTATTTTGACTACATCTATAAATGTATTTTTTTTAAGAAAATATTTTAGAATTTAGCAGCATACGTGGCTTGAAAATGAGGTGAAGAATACAACAGCCATTAATTCAGTTATAATTACAGAAGACACACTTAGTTTTATTAAACAGCAAAATTAAAATATTCAAGCCTCCTAAAACCCTTATTATATTTTCAACAGTTTAATGAATGTCAAGGTCGAACACGTAAGGAAAAGCAAGCAATGCTTTCAGAAAATGAGAAATTAATGAAGGAGAGATGACATGGAGGTATTTTCAATTACCTAAGATTTCCCTCAAACTCTGACAAATTTGGTGGCTGCAGCTACACAAAGTAGTTCAGCAAGGCACATAATCAGAGAACTGAGCACAGAGGGCAGCCTGGCTCAGTCACTGTTCTACTTGCAGATTTCTAAAGCCACACATTTCAGCTGCACGCTTGTGATTGAAATAATCTTGGTAACTGCTGATGCTGTGTGAACAGCAATGTAACAGCAATGCCCCACAGATACAGCTGGACTCTCAGATTAAAACTAAACAGGCTTATGTATTTAGGTATAAACAAATCCCAAAGTGCAACATTTTTTAAAAAACAGGGAGCTGAAGGTGGGGGTTGTCTGGCCCAAAGATGACTAAAGCTGTAGTTATGCCATGAACAACTTAAATGTCTGCTGTAAAAGGACAGAAAGGTGAATGAAGTACAGGCTAGATGTTGAGCTCCATAAAATAAGGATTTATTATCTTGATGCATACAAACAATATTGCTCAAGTAAGCAGGTGTAAAGAAGTTGGTTTTAATATGACTACCAGTAACTTCTCTAATGGATCTCGTGACTTTTAATGTCAAATCTGTGCCCAAACGTGGATTTTTACTAATTCATAATATTCTGGTTTTACAGAAGTTATTCATAATACTCTTACTGAACAAACTAAATATAAGACTTCATCTCTGCTAGATATAAACTTGATTTAATTTTGATGTGATTTTACATAATTTAGTGAAACATAATTTACATAATTTAGTGAAAACGAGTATAAACATGTTAAACCAATTACAATTGTCTAGTCAGTCTATTTTGTTTTAATTTTTTTTAAATAAAAAATTGTGGGGTTTCTAAATCTCCAAAAGAAAGATTCCTATAAACATGTTATTTCATAAAGGTACAATGGTAACTGTGTTTTTTCTTAACCACTTCACCATACAATGAAGGCATTTGTACAATAATTTCTGATAGATAAAAGATCATGAAATGCAATTATTGTGAGAATCAATCATCTTGTCATCCTGTAATATGTATGCTTCTCGTGGTTCTCTGTTTGCACAGTGCAATTCTCCTATGCAGTACTGCAGTTGTACATAGTTACGTCAACTTTGGTAAGTCTAGTAGAGTTTATAAACCATAATTTCACAAGATTCACATATTATCTCATCATTCTTTGTCTATAGGTATTCTGTGAGCAGTTGATCGATGACACTGACCAGCAGGCTGGGGTGAGGGTGTGGGCTGGGGAACACAGAACAGGACACACACAAATGACATGGTGCAACTTGAACAAAATATGAATTCTAAAATTCTTTTGAACAAAGCATTCAATTTAAACCAGAATTTTCATTTACAAGGACTGCAATTCATGGACACAGCACCACTGCAAAACCAGACTTTGATATCTTCAGAAGATCAAGTAACAGTATGGGGTTTTGATGCTGCAAATCCAGGCTGCATTAAATAAATCAAGTCTACAGTTCAGAAATGGAAATTGGGAAGGGAGCAGGTCTCTAAGAAAGTCTATAATAGCAGATATGGCACAGAAGAGGGAAACAATTATGACTTTATGATCTCCACAGAGTAGCAGTTAGAACAAAGAAACAACCCCAAAAAGCAACCAGACAAGTGAAAACCTTCTGGATTTCTGCAACTACATAAATCAGTGCTTCAAGATGTTAAAGGCCAGATGCATCAGCTGGCTCAGAAAGGGATCTGAAACTAGCCTGCACTGTCATATAGGAAGCAATTACTACTGACCAAAAAACAAAAGCAGCTATCTTTACTGTTTTTAAAAAATATTTAATCTTTACATACTTTTTTCTGCAATCAATTTTCACGAACGTGAGGGTAAAACGCCAGGCTTTGCTAAACAATATTATTGAAGAGCAAACAGTCCTGAAACAACCTGGGAGATCTGCTCAACGTTACACTGTGACATGTCAAATGACCATATAATTAGTTAATTTAATAGTGTGCCTTACTTCTCCTCTTAGCAGTGCTTCCTAAGAATTATCAGGGCCAACTACAGCAATTTCCTGAGTCTTCAGGTGAATTTCAATGTGAAAATAATTCTATTTATTCTTCTTTTTGTAATTAGAGCCTAACTCAATGCATATCTCATAATCTGCATGAAACCTTGTTTTCCTTTTTATTGAAATCTCCAACACATCTTTGAATTTCATTTGGTGTACCAGAATGCCACCTCTTTTTTTAGTATGCAAAAATGGGTGCATATTCTTCATTAGCATAAATACTAGTTAGAAAATGTATATAAGGTATATATGCTGCCTAGCTACTTATTTACCTTTTAGACTTGACATATACGTTAATAGCTACGTTGTGTTACACATATTCCTTAAAATAAATGAAAAACATAAGCAAAGAAACTACACTGTTTACCAGACACAAGTTTATAACTTGAATCATAAACATGTTAGAGTGTACCTGGTTTGAGTGAACAGTTGTGCTGGTTTTGGCTGGGGTAGAGATAGATTTGGCTGGGATAGATTTCTTCCCAGTAGTTGGTACTGGCTGTGGTCTGGGTTTGTGATCAAAACAGCGTTAATAACAGAGGGATGTTTTGGCTATTGCTAAGCAGCACTTGCACAACATCAAGGACTTCTCTGCCTCTCAGAGAGGACACAGGGGGTGCACAAGGAGCTGGGAGAGGACACTGTTGGGACAGCTGAGCCCTACTGACCATAGGGACATCCCAGAGCACCTGGTGTCAGGCTCAGCAACAAAAGCCAAGCAGGAAGTTTGCCAGGGTTGCCATTTCTCAGGAATTCGCTGGGCATCGGTCAGCTGGGTGTGAGCATTTGGAGCTTCCTTCTATCACTTGTTTTTCTTGTTTTTTTATATCTCTTTTTTTATTTTCTTTGTCTTTAAACTCATTACACTCTCTTTATCGCAAACCATGAGTTTTCTCACTTTTACCCTACCAGTTCCCCCTCCCAGCCCAGGGGAGAGAAAGCACGTGATCATCTGCATGGGGTTTAGGTGTCTACCGGGATGAAACCACAACAACCCTCTTTGGCACCCAACATGGGGCTCAAAGGGTTTGAGATAACGGCAGATTTGACCAGAGCGTGCCAGAAGGAGAGGAGGGAGCACCAGAAGGAGTGGTCTGTTCTGCAGCAGAGCAGCCACAAGAACAAGGGGGGGAAGAGGCAAAAGTCATAAACAAGTTTTCGCACCTTTACCCCTTCTGATTCTCTTCCCCATCCCAGTGAGGGGGAGCGAGCGAGCGGCTGTGTGGGGCTTACCTGTCTACCAGGGTTAAACCACAACTTCAAGTTTCATTTTCACACTGAAATTAACTGTAATTATGGTTTTAACCTGCAAAATGGTGTTTTTCATGAGGGCATACAATTATCCATTATTTTGATAGCACAACATAGGAAAATTTAATTGAATTACTTCCCTCACAACATCAGTCAATGAAACCATAAAAGAGGAGTGCAGCTTACATCACTGATAAACACGTAAGAATTACATTATTCCTGGAACTGGGAAGTTCACATATGGAAGCTTTAGTTTAATGCTTTCTGACAGCATATACAGAACCATGACAGAGAGGAGGGAGATGTGTTGTAAAAGTGTACAGAGAAAAAGAAACATTGATAATGTTCCACCAATTCAAAATGTATTTTCTGTAGTATTGCAAACCTCCTGCCAGCCTTTTTCCATCCCTTACACAAAATCCCAACTACTGAGGGCTCTGTGGAATCCAAGAGAACTGAGAAAGTGCTAAAAAGCTGTCGCACTGTTCACTGATCATAGAGTGGACTGGTAGGAAAACTCTGTGAAGAGAAGTTGTTCAACAGACATTGTGAGAGTTAAGCCATTTTGTGAGGGAAGTAAATCAATCAAATCTTTCCATGTTGTGTTATCAAAATAATTGATTTGTCTGCCCTCATGAAAACTGGGGGGTAAGGGATGAAGCTGGAAAAAGCCTTAGCACTAACTGCACAGTTAGAGTGGGAAATGCAGAAATAAATGGTAAGTCTCTTTAAGTTTGCATAAAGTAAGTAGTATACCTCTCCACCTATTATAAAACAAGGCCAACTTCTTCATAGAACTCTCAAACCACAGATATAAGTGACTGTGCTTTAAAATCAAAAATATACTTGCTATTCCTTACACAAAAATTCTCACTAGGTGAAGATGAAAACACAAACATGGTCGACAACAAATTAAAACTCTGAAGAAAAGACAGGATCATTTTTGTCAGAGGGTACAGAAGTGTTCTTTATTAGTAAGGAATGACTTTTGCAGCTGTGCTGGTTGGTTTTAGCTTAAACCACGATAGCAGTCAAAAGAAGCTACCTTTTAAAGTATCAGTTTTGCTTTTACTGCCATGTTTTAGATTTTTATTTTTGCTTTATTACTTTTGCATTTTCACAGAAGCTTAAGAAGAACCTGGAAAACCCAAAAAGCTGTTATACACAAACATATTTAACTTGAAAACCCATGAATTATAGTATGGTGCAGAATAACAGAGAAAGCTTCCTATTTGTCTCTGATGATCAACACAGTTTTCATGTTAAAAACCAACTTCTGAAGTTAACAATAAAAATCCTCATGAGCAATACACAGACAGTGCTTTTTTAGATGCAAATATAGTTGTAAAGACCTCTGGGAGATGTACAATGAAAGTAACATTAAAGACCTGAAGTATAAGTTGGAAGATTATTTTTATTAGTATTGTCATCCTCAAGCTAAGTTTTCCATACTAAAAGACGTTGCTTGGCTTGTGTTTTGCCTGTCCAGGTAAAACAATTACCCAGACTCCGTGAAACACGTAACTCTGCACATTGTACGACAACCAAGGAATTGAAACTGTGAGTGCAATATATCCCCATTTCTATATCCTTAAAGATACCACAGAGCTGCACTGCACACACTTATAATTCAGCAAACAACATGGGAACTTTCATTTGAGGTCTGTTTTGCTGAACCACAAGGGAAGTTTTAAAACTGGTGAAAATAAATCATCATTGAACAGCAAACAGAGACCTATGTTAAATGTCGCATATTTTTATCTTCACTGATTCAGCATAATGCTCGACTCGAGCAGATTTAAACATGAGCTTAGACGATTTCGCTTTGATAAGCACTTCCTACAGTATTAAATACATATACTGATTATAGAGAAAATCCTCATTAAATCATGACAACAAAAGTGCTGTGCACACACTGGGTCACCCCTGCATGGAAAGCTGACAAGCAGGCAGGGGGGAATGATGGTGCTCTACAACAGCTCTCCTGATCCAAGTATCCAACTGGAAATGGTTATCGTACAGTGCATCTGTCTTAAAGAGTTTATGCAGTCAAAAATACCTTTCAATTTGAATGTTTAAGGAAAAAAAATCCCATCAAAATTAAGCACCAAAAGTCAAAGTCCTAAGCAAGCTACTTGGTAAATGATTTTTCTGGAAAGAAGACATGGATTGGACTTGTATAGTAGCCACTGCACTTTAAGAGACTTATCTTGGTATTAAATGCAATACAGTGGGTCTTGGGCCTTCCACAGTACAGGCACCAGGACTGCTACAGAGGCCAGAAGTAACCAAGCTGCTGCCTCCTTCCATCCCACAAGGAGCAACTGCTGCCAACATATTCCATACTCAGCTGTACAGCAGGAACTGGTTATAACACGTAACATGATAGGTAAGGGTTATAAGTGGCCAACTGAAACACCTTTCACAGAATGGGTCATGTTGGAAGGAACCACAGTGGGTTTCATCTGGTTCAACCTCCCTGCTCAAGCAGGGTCATCTCAGAGCACATGGCACAGGATTGTATCCAGATGAGTCTGGAATATCTCCCATTAGGAAATATTCCAGTGAGGGAGACAACCTCTCTAGGTAATCTGTTCCAGTGCTCAGTCACTGTACAGGAAAGAAGTTCTTCCTCATGTTCAGGTGGAACTTCCTGGGCATCAGTTTCTGCTCGTTGCCTCCTGTCCTGTTGCTGGGCCGAGCCTGCTCCATCCTCTGACACCTCCCTTCAGATACTTGCGTACATTGATGTGTTCCCCTCTCAGTCATGTCTTCCCAAGGCTAAACAGGCCCAGCTCCCTCAGCCTTTCCTCATTAGAGAGGTGCTCCAGTCCCTTGATCACCTTTGTCACCCTCCGCTGGACCTGCTCCAGGAGTTCCATGTCTCTGTTGTGCTGAGGAGCCCAGAACTGGACACAGCACTCCAGGTGATCCTCACCAGGGTTGAGCAGAGGGGCAGGATCAACCTCCCTCAACCTGCTGGCAATGCTCTTCCTAATGCAGCCCAGGATCCCATTGGCCTTCTTGGTCCCCAGGACACGTTGCTGGCTCATGGACAGCTTGTGGTCCACCAGGACACCCAGGTCCTTCTCCACAGAGCTGCTTCCCAGCAGGTCAGGCCTCAGCCTGTCCTAGTACCTGGGGTTATTTTTCTCCAGCTGCCTTTGTTGAATTTCAGAGAGTTCTTCTCTGCCCGCCTCTCCAGCCTGTCGAGGTCCTTCTGAAGGGCTGCGCAGCCCTCTGGGGTATCGGCCACTCCTCCAGCTTTGTGTCACCAACAAACTTGCTGAGGAGGCACCTCCCACTTCACCCATCATTGATGAGTAAGTTAAAACAGTCCTGGGGGGGGACACCACTAGTGACAGGCCTCCAACTACACCCCGTGCCACTGATTAAAAACCTCTGGCATCTGCTGTTCTGCCAGTTCTCAATCCACCACTGTTCACTCATCCAGTCCACACCTCCTCAGTTTGCCTCTGAGGATGTTGTGGGAGACAGTGTCAAAGCCTTGCTGAAGCCGACGAATTTCATGAGTTTCGTGTTTTTAGGGCCAGAAAACAAGTTTTCTGCATACAATGACAAAATGCAACATACGCTGCCTACTGGTATATAAAATCCAGTAACATGTATAAATTAAGAGTTATCACGGTCTGAGAGTACAGAAAATATAAATAATTGATGTGAATGATGCACGTGAAAATAATTATGAAGAACTTATGAGTGAATCACATAAAAGAAGCACTTGTACCATTTGAGTACCTTCAAATATATTTTAGATAAAATACATCTTTTAGAAGTTAGGTGAATGGAAATAGTCCACTAAAAGAATAAGGAAGGTGCTTACTACAGCTTAGGACCAACTGCTACTGTATTTCTGGGTTAGGGGATTTTTTTAAAAAACTTATCCCATTCCTTTGCTACTGATCTCAGTAATCCATTCCAAAATGAGGTCTGATGAATTATAATTCACTATAATAATTATCATATAATAATCAGAAAAAAAAAGTAGCATTAACTCTTCCTACAGCTTAAGTTATTGTCATTGAATTATAAATACCACAGGCAACAGTCAATAACCAACCAAATAATAATAATAACAACAACAACAATTAAAAAACGCTGGTTATTAGAGTGGTTCACACCACTCATAGCAAAATTTCAGGATATGCGTTCTTGTAACTAAACCTCAATGGAACATCACAATAACAAGGACTTCTAAGACTATGTAAGAGACTATTAAACATTTAATAAATACAAGACCCTTTCTGTTAGAGCAAATTTTAATATAACCATGCATTCAAATGTGGAGAAAAACCCAAAAGGTATAATTAAATCTAAAAAGAACAAAACTTAAAGTACATGTAAACTAATTACAGCATTACAACCTAATTACTAATACTCCACAGCAAGTAAATTTAATTGTAAATGAGTTCAGCTACGCATTCTAAATAGGAAGCCAGCATACATGTCCATCATTTTAGTAAAAAAGTTAATGAGACTGAAAAATAAAATTGATAATAGATCACTGAGGTGAATTCTTACAGTGTATGTTTCAACATAAAGCAAAACTAGCAAAACAAGAACCTTACAGTATAAAAACTTCTGCAATTTTGGTATCTCTTCTGTTCTCATAAGAAATTTATTTATAGCTGTTCAAAAGCTATACAACCACAGATGTATCAGACAGAAAAAAATTCACAGGTCTCAACTTTTGAAGACCTAAACAGATCTGACTGATTTGTGATCAAACCTATCATTCTGTGGAGGAAGGAAATTGTCCTGTGCACACTTCTGGATGATTTGTATAAAACACTGTATTTTTTGGACAATGAGTCTGTTTTCCCTGCCTGATGCCTGGGATGCATCAGCTGAAAATTGCTTCCCCACAATCCATCTCCTGACTAGACAGGAGAGATGTGCTCCTGTCACTCATTTGGTCACTCATGTCTGGACATACACTAACACAATAATATTGTATGTGGGCTTCAGGAACAGACAGTCAGCTTTGTGGTAGCTCCTGGAGCTGAAAAACTGTTAAATGTCATTGAAAAGACAAGTTTTCACACATAAAATAGCAACTTCTTTTTTTTTTTATTCACACTGGAAAGTGGGCAGTCCTAAAGAGAACCCCCCCAGCCCCCAAAAAGAGGAAAGCACTATATAAGGATTGCAAGATGTTTCTGTGCCTTACCTACATGACCCCAAAGGACTGTTACAATCACACTTCCACACTATCTCATTTTTTGTCATTTCCCTAATGGAGCTGATCCTGACCTAATTTCAATGTTTTTTGTACAGACAATATCATCTTGTCTGAACTTTAAATGCCCAGCTGCTTTCTGACATTGTGAAAGAAAAGAGTACACTCTGAAAACCTACTTATGTCAGAAAGATATTGTTCTTAACTGTACTTTCCAGTCAAGTGTCACCGTTTTCATCGCAGCAGTGGAGACAGAACAGCCATCAGACAGAAATATTTCCTCTCAGCAAAGGAAGGTGCCTTCAGCTTGCACAGGTAAGCTTCAAACTACTACTTTGTTTTACCTGACAAAATTTGGTCATTGACACAAAACTATCATCAGACTTTTAAATGAGTACATTCAGCAATTGTTTCGTGAATTTAACTCGTCATAAACATTTTGGTTCAACAAGACATGAACTCAGTGCATACTAAACTGCAACAGCTAGGAAAGTTAATTTTTTAATTTAATTTGCAAGTTGTCAAACACTGCCTATAGCAGAGTTCTAAACTCAGCATCTGGGCTTTTTATCATACCTACACAGAATCCTCTTTAGCATCTGAGTTCATTTGCTTACAGCTGTCTGCAAAAAATTATTATCTGTCTGTAAGTTTGAAATCTCTTAATTTGTTCTGTATGATTTTATATGAAGCAAAAGCTAACTAGGATACACTGCACTAAAATGTATGTATGCATACAAAAGTAAAAACTCTCCAGTACAGGTTAGTAAGTTGAAATACCAATACAGTCATTGTATAGAACTTTGATTTATTTCTTATTTTCAGTTTGAAAATTGAGAAAAGATTGAAAACTGATCTTGGAAAAAATAATGCAGTTTTTGACAACCATTTTATATGTTTACAAATATAGACTAAATGTATATCTAATATTGGAGCTTTGATAAAATAAGATTAGATACAGACATGAGCAAAAAATAAATGCATTTAGCCAGATTCCTACATCATACTGAGTCTAATTTGTACTTAAATGGAGGTACTGGACGCTCCTCTGCATTTCTGCAAAGTAATACTTAGCATTTAATTTGCTTATGTAAACTTTAAATGGTTTTAAATGGTTTCCAAATTAGGTTACAGATGTTCCAGCAGGCTGAGAAATGAAACCAAGATCGCAGAAGTTATTGCCAGACCCTTGCCTGAACCTTCAGTTCCTAATGTATTTTGTTAGATTCTATGCACATAAAATCTTAGGGGTTTAACATCAGCCAACTTTTCTTCACAAAATCTCAGTGGAAGAGAACACTCAAACTGTAACCTCATGCAAACTCAAGATGGTAACAGCATCAAACAGCTGTTAGGAACACTGAAAAGTAGGGGAGAAACAGAAACAGCTGAGATATGAGCAAGGAATAAAAGAGATGTTAAATGAACATTACAGAAGAATAATTTTTTAATTGTTTTTCAGCTCTGACCATTCATTCAAGATATACTGGCATAAATGAACAATTCAACATGTTTTCTTCAGCCATCCTCAGCTACCACTGTAGCTCTGCCTGTCATCTACTCCTGCCTATTCCCTGCTGGAAGCTTTGGAAACATTCTCGCTGCCTGGATACTTTCAAAGAAAGCACCCACAAGGAAAACACAATACATTTACCTGGCAAACCTTGTGACTGCAAATCTGTTTGTATGCAGCACAATGCCCTTCCTGGCTGCCTACTTTGCAGGAGGGAAGCGCTGGAGCTACGAGTCCTTGGAATGCCGGATAGCGTGTCACCTCGGGACTCTGGTCATGCACGTCTGCATGTATGTGACCATTATCATCCTGTGCTCAATTGCTCTGAGCCAGTATGCAACGCTGAAGAAGAACTGGGACACACAGTACTCCCAAGCAGTTAATGAAAACTTCTCCAGATGTTTGCTTCAAGCGTTTCGTCGGCCAAAATTTGCTAAATATTTGTGCATCGGTATATGGCTTACTGTGCTCTGCATAACAGTAACAGCTATAACATATGATGTCCAGGCAAAGGCTTTGGAATACTTTCCCAGCTGCTACAACATCCAGGTAGAAGCTAGTGAATCTACTGCAATGATTGCAGGTTCTGTTGCCACTGCATGTTTTTTTGTGTCTTTTATGACAGTTTTGTGGTCATACTATTCTCTTACCAGACATCTGAATGACATACAAAAAAACAGTTGTATTGGACAAAAACATCTAATTTACAGTAAAGTGAAAAGAAACATTCTTGTCATCCAGATGATATTAACTGTCTGCTTTCTTCCGTATCATATTTTTAGGCCTGTTTTTTACATACTGCTTAGACATAATGACTGCCCAAGGTTAAACTATTTAGTGGAAATTAAAAATTTCCTTACTTGCCTTGCTGCTGCTAAAAGCAGTTTAGATCCAGTTATAACCCTTCTGTTAGATAAAACATTTAAGAAAAGTCTTTATGGCCTGTTTACAAAATCCACACCAGAACATCAAAAACGTGACATTGATATTTTCACTGAAATGGGAAGGAATATGGAAAGATTTTAGTAACTATAACTATCAATAAATTGATTTTAACTACCTATGGCCATGTTTTGATATGAAGTGGTAAATATTCAAATAAAATAATAACATATTGTATTTTTTTTCAAATCATCTTGCTTGCTACATCAATATTAGCCATAATAAATTCAATGTGTATATCCAAATGAATCCAAGCACTCTGTACAGTGAACTGTGTAATACCCATCCATTCATGAAATGCAAAAGATATTTTATGTTTCACCTATGGACAGTGTTTTTACCTAAAAAATCAAGGAAGAAGGCAGAAACTAGGCTCAAGTTGAGGACCCAGTTCTCACCCATCATAAAAAAAAGCCCCAGGTTTTGGACACAGGTTTCCTTCACAAAAAAGGCTGAACAAAGCACAGACATTTGTCCTGGAATGGCTGAACCACAAGTGACGGTCAAGTAACTACAGCAAGACTGAATGGAGCAGTGTAAGTCCTCCAGATGCTCAGTGCCACTGACAAGACTGGTTTTAGATCAGCAGCTGCAAGTCTGGGTGAGCAAATATGTTCACTACCAAAGCACCCTTATTATTTGCACAGATACAAACTCAGAACCCAAAACTTCTGTCCTTTCTTAAATACACTTTATAGGGAATGTAGCTGCGCTTGTTAGGATACCTCAGCATGTGGCTGACTGTGGTTGTTTCTCTTAACACAGAGTTGTTGATGGCAGCATAGGCTGAAATCATTCTTTCTCCAACCCTTCTAGTCACAACCACTTGCTCCCCAGCACTTATCAAAAAGACAAGAAAATGAACAAAACTTTGGGAATTACTAATCAAATATAACATTGTGATAGACTCTTAGCAAGATCTCACTTCAACATTTCTACATAGTGCCAAAAAATGATGATACATGCCTTGCTTTTTTCCTATGTAGTCTGTTCAAGATTATGCCTCCTTTAAATTTTTTATCTGCATCAAAGTTTTTCTTATTTTAAATGGTGGAGAAGCTTTTGTGCAGTACAAGCAATTGGAGAAACTACAAACTGAGTACTACATTGGTCTAGTATTTGGCAGAATAGTTCATGGAGGAAAAATCCGAGAAAACCTGGAAGGCATGAGGGAGAGACAGAAAAATACTACAGCATAACACAGTTGATGTGGCAAACTTCTTGCATTGCTTAGACATCCTGTGGCCAAATCAGAAGTTAGAAGGTGACTTGTCAATTGCATAGTAATTAAAAAAAAATAATTCATTTCCATTGCAGTGAACAAAAAATCCTAAGGCAAATATGCACAGCACACAGTTTGCAAAGCAGTTTAAGGACTCCAAGTGCCTGTCTACTTTTTGGTTAACCCATTCCAATGTGCTGCATGGGTAGCCAGCTCATCAATCAGAAGATCAGAAGACACATGTTTTCTGACTGTCTGGGCAAATGACTGAAACATATAAACCTACTGACCAGAAAGCATTAAATATTGAGCTCTAAGAAGGCCAAGCAGCATAATTATAATTCTCAGCAAAACTGCTTCTGATCACCCAGCAAACAGCTAAAGGTACACTAGAAAAAGGGCTGGACAAAACAGAGGGACTCTGAGATAGGAAGCAGAGGACTAGACATAAAGAGGAAGAAAAGTGTACTGCCTGAATAAACACTGAGAAAAGGTACTGAAAGCTTTATTCTTGGAGCCTCTTAACTTCTGCATTGAATGAGGAAGGGCTCCTCAGAAAAAAACATGGCCAGGTAAGACACTTCAGTTCCACCCCTGTTAGTGATTTTGCAGTCTTAATAACTTTTAAACAATTTAATATGTAACAAAATCCTCACCAAGAAGTTTCTACTGGATCCCAAGGATCTAATAATTTCTTGAAAATACAGAAGCAGCAGCAATCATTACTGAATGATCCCATAAAGCATAAAAGAAGTTCAAAGTGAAAAGAGTAGAAGGAAAGCAACATGCAACAGATTTCTTGTTTTGGATATTCAAAGATTGGAAAGAGAAGAAGGTCTTACAGAACAGCTTCTATTCTGGTAATTTTTTTATGTAGTTGAATATAGAGTTATAAACACATAAATACATGTACACTAGTTTTATTCATTTCCCAGATATGCCTAAAAGCAGAAGTGTAAGAGTGTTAAACTACTGGCAAGATCTGAAGTGCTGAACTACAGGCAGTTCAGGTAATGAAAGACAGAAGTGGTAACTGTGTTCTCAGAATTCATATGGCCAATTAAGTTCTGTACAGTGCAAAAATCAACATGCAAATCTATGCACAGATCAAGTCTCAAGTCACCCGGACCAACTCAGATTTGTATATGACACACAGCACAGTGCATAAGGCTTAGTCCTGTTCCCTGGAAAAAGTGTTTTTACTCCCAGTCACAGAAATATTGAACTGAATCTTAATAGCAGAGCAGGCAGAATTCATGTATTTTGCTTAAGCAGTTTCATCTATTTAGATGACCACACTGCAAACAAGCATTCATTCCTACCAAGATAACCTACAGTAAAAATTTGGGATGTCTGCATTTCGCTGACAAGCCTGCCCCAACTCCAGTTGCACACTAATCAAGTTGCTAATCAGAAACACATACAAACACTCAAACTACGTGGAAATCATGGCACCAAGTTGGAGTATTTGGAATGAATTAAGGAGAAAATTCCAGCAACTAAAGTTCTTGATGTGATTAAATTACTCCCGTATCAGTTTTATTAAAAGGTATCTTTATAACAAGATTTCTGCAACTATGCAAAATGCTACATAAACATCACAATATAGGCTAACAGAAGATTGCAAAACCTCCTGATGTTTCACTGATAAAAACCATTCCATTGCAGTTATTGCAAAAATGAACAAGTGACAAATGAGACTCAAACCTTAGCAAGAGTTTTACAGGAAAAGACAAACATTTCAGACCAACATTACTCCCCTTCCCCTTTTGTTGTTCTCTTATATAAAGATTACTCTGTTCACAAACTGCTGTGCAATAACATTCTGTATTGGAAAAAATCTCCCTTTCAATGCTGCTACTTTTGGTAGCCATCGTTTGGGTATTTCTGACATAGCAAGGTGGCTACAGGTCATCTTGTGAAAGCTTTCATGTTTTGATTCTGTCATCAGAGGTGAATCTGAAGCATATGGGAGTTTGTCACAGGCTCCACAGTGCTCCAGAAGCTTTGGTACATCTTGTCAGTTGGAGAAGTCAGGTGAAGTTTCTGGCACAAGAATACAGCAAACTGAAGTACTCCTGTCTAGCTCTACCAAATCAGTCAGGAGCTAAGTGAGCACACCAGTGGCTAAAAGACACCTAATCCTTGCATGGGCTAAGGTGCAAATTTGCCTGTGCATCAGATGATGATCAAATATTTTGCAGTTCAAAATAACACTCACAGAAAGCTTAAAAGGAAAAAAAAATAGTATGACTTTATCAACCTTACAGATTTTATAAATGAGCTTTCATCCATTCAAGTATTTTGGAAACTGGTCATTTAGTCTACTTCCTTTCAAAACACTGTCTACAGTGACATCTAGAGCTGGGATACTGCAGTTAGCTCAATGTGTTCTGCACCCAAACCCTGTAGTTCTGCACTGCTTTTGCCAACATGAAACACTGTTGGTTTACACTGCTTTACAATGACACATTTTTTCTAATCTAATTGAACAGTTATTTGTAAGGATAGTATTTCAAAAAACACTGCGATTCTGAGGTTTTCAGAGACTGGACAAGCTCTAAAATAAATTCCCACTTTACACACATTAAAATGGGCCTCCCTCAGAGGTCCTTGAAACTGAAATTTGTTTTTGTTCAAGCACATAGTGCAACAAAACCAAGTGGAGTTTTCAGAAAGACACAGCAACAAAAAGATGATGTTCATTCAGAAATTCTTATGTGTTACCAAAAATGAACAATTAAAAGAATTCAAAACCTTCAAGACAGAACATTAAGACACGTTCTACCATGAGTTACGAGGCCATCCTTTGAATTGCACATAAGAAATTACTTTTAAAATACCAAACTTTAAAAAACTAAAAAGGCTATTATACAATAATCCTCTTGATTCTAGAAGCAAAAATAAGAGGCTAGGAAAGTCTGCAATGTCTGTGTACACAAGAACAAATGACTCTTTAAATGAAAATCATCAGCCCAGTGTCTGTACTCTCTTCCCTCACAGATCACCTGGAGGAGTTTGAATCTTCTCTTACCCACTAAAGCCCAAGATTCACTTCTCAAACTGCACCATCAGAGCTTCTTAGAATTTTCATTACTTCCTATAGTGTTTGGCTCACTCTGAATAAAACGAAACTCTCAGAGAAGTGGGAATAACTATTTTAGGGAATGACATTAACAAAGAAATTGTATATTCAAATTGAAGACTGTCAAACCCACTTCAGTTAAAACTCCCAATTACTTACACTAAAATACTTTGGGATAAACTACTTCCATAAATATTGACAGAAATAGTACAAAATTCACCAGATCAAAAAGAGAGTGTACATACGCTGTTGTAAAACACTGCATTTCTCCTCACAAACTTGTTTATATTAGAGAAGTTTTCATAATAATAAATGTTGAAGACTGCCTGCAAAAAGTAGATAATACTACCAATATTGTAGCATTTAAGCATGTGCATCTCTCTGAAATCTTAGTGTGGATGAGGACTGTCATTATACTGTCAAATTGATGCCCTTGAACTACCAATTCCAGTTTAATTTATGCAATTAATTTATATACACATTTTCCTAACAAGAAAAAAATGCAAGCAGATTTCATTTGAATATTCAAAAACTAGAAATTAAACTGACTTTCAAAGCAAGTTGTAATCAAATGCACGTGTAATTTGTGAGTACAGACCTCCTAAATGTTCTATATTGATGAAATTAGAGATCTTTAATTAGAGATCTTTAATCTTAGATGAGACAATAAGAGTAAAGATTCACTCAGCAAATAGAGATTCCTTTTCTAGAGCTCCCCTCTTCTTCTGAATTACATAAATTGAAATTCAGTAGTTGACACTATTGTGGTGAAGAAAAAAAGAGTAATTAAACCCCCTTACCTTCACATCCCTG